AAACCCTGTCACGCATGATTTTATATATAAAACACATCAAAACAAGACCTTGTTTTGTTCTCCACCATAAATAATTAGTAAGACATTAGAAAGATCGTGCACATTAGAGTTGAGAAGGAGCTAATCTGAATGCACATTAGGAGGATCCTAATACTAACCCCAAACTCTCAATAATGGAATAGATAATCTCCCTTTTTCATAAATTACAACCTGCATTGCATGCTAATAGGCTGTGATGTCCAGTGTAGAGGCCTTCTCAAATTGGGCCCATGAACTCTGCTACAAGCCTACAATGGTGCTCTCAGCATCTTCAAACTAGGCCAGCTTTAAACGACAAGTCATTGAGTGAGCATATTACTAATGGGCCCAAAATGTAAGAGAGAGAGAGAGAGAGAGAGAGAGAGAGACGTTTTGGTATCTGGCTATAAACATTAAACAACACGACGTGCCCGCAACATAAGGCCTAACTTCATGTGCGCTTCTTTCCTTAGTCTTTTGCTAGACATGGGGGCTTGACTTGATTGGTGTCTCATTCAAACCACATTTGTCCAAAGGTGTTATCTGGACCCGCAACACACAAAATATTTGTATTGACACACTTCAAATTTGAACCATTGATCATGCTGATTTTTACACGAGAATGTTGAGTAAATTATAAAATTTGACAAGAGAACGTTACCGTCCAAACAAATCTCCTCCACCATCCGAGTTCCAATCTGTTTAACGACATAAGTATGTATGTGTCTAAAATATAAATTTGATAAGACAAGTTAGGGTCTTAAAGAAATCGCCTCTTAGACTCATGTCCGAACATGAATTCAAAATCAAATATGAAGAGAGGGAGGGGAAGGGTTCCGTTGAGACAAAGACAAAAGGCTCTTTTCACACTCCAAACTCAAACCGCACTACCACCATGTCTTAAAAACGCATTTCTTGCCAATTGCTTTCAAGGATTACCAAATCCACAAACCTTCTTTGAATCACTCAAAGACGGCAACAATATCAAACAAAATAAAACAAAATAGTTCATTAAAAAAAAACACACACACACACATTACTTCACAAAATACAGCTTTCATTAAGCTGTTTATACTCTCAACGCGTTTCCAAAAAAACACACACACACAGAGTCGACGCGATAAACAGTCGCACATATATAAACTCTCTCTCTTCCTCCAAATTCAAAATCCGAACTTTTGAAAACCCACCAACCCAAACGCCATGGACTTCAACTCCATGAGCTGCCCTTTGATCTTCACCCTCAGCTTTCTGCTTATTTTCACGGCCTTGCCCTCTTCATTCTCTCAGCCAACAGCGGATGCTCCAGCACCAGCCTCCGATTCGTGCAACGGCGTGTTCTTATCGTACGCCTACACCACCGGAGCCAAGCTCCCGCCGGAGCTCAAATCTAACCCCAAGCGCCAGCCCTACCGTTTCGAGTCCGTGCTCACGGTGCTCAACAACGGGCTCGAGGATCTGAAATCTTGGAGGGTCTTCGTGGGGTTTAAGAACGATGAGTACTTGGTCTCTGCCTCCAATGCCGTTTTGGCAGATGGGACTAGTTTGCCTGGAAGTGTGGGAAACGGCACCGTTTTTGCTGGGTTTCCGATGACCGATCTGAAAACTGCGATTAAGACTGCGGGAGACTTGACCCAGATGGAGGTTCAGGTCAAATTGCTCGGGACCCAATTCGGTGTGGCCCCACCCAAGGTTCCTCTGCCCTCGAATATCTCTTTGGCCAATGATGGGTTTGTTTGCCTCAACGCCGTGCAAGGTCAGTTCCTAGCATTCATTTTGGTCGTCTTGGGTATTTGTGGATTTGTGTTTTTCTGGTACATTTTTGGATGTTGGTATTTGATGAAATTTAATTTGGAGTACACAGATTTCATTTTTATCCGTTACCCTTTTTTTATGTTTAGCTGCTAGCAGTTCTTTTGATAGCTTTTATATTTTCAGGTTTCAATCATTTGTTTTGAATGTTCATTATATATAACTGTATTAAATTGAATTTGATGAGAGAATACCTGGTGTATGTTGGTGTGGAGATGAAGGGAAATTACGGTTATATCTGTTCTCAAATATTTGGAATTTGTTTAGAGATTATTTGAACATTTTCTTCCAATTTGCGTTGGACCGTATCAGTCTCATTGGTATATTGACTTGCCTTAAGTCACTAGGAAATTTTTTTACTCCTAGATTCATAACTACAATGGTGAATGTCTAGAACCACAAATCAAGATATCTTCCCCATTAGTTTTTCATTTTTGGAAGACAATGGCCTTCTATATCTGCAAGGAAAATTTGTTAGTCTTGATCTACAGAAAAAAATTTCGGTCTAGTTTTTGTTTAGCTTTTGGTTATAATCAGATCATTGCTTTCTATGTTTCCGTCATATTATTAGACTGTCATTTTTAGGGCGTCCTTTTCTCTACAGACCAATTTGTTAATAACAACCAGATGTCACCGTGATAACGTACATTTGACACTAAGTTGGGTTTTCACTTTTCACTTTTACTATCCATGTTAATGAGCATACTCTTACGCTTCTCTGATAATGTTCTTTCCAGGGACGAATGAAATGCATGTCTGTTGCACCGTAGACACAAAGTTTAAAACGAACATCACTGTAGATGAAAAGTTCCTCCCCCGCCAAAATGGAGATCTTACAATTATGTATGATGTGACCAATACTCAAGACTCAAATTACGGGGCACAAGTTACAATTGCCAACCATAACCCCCTAGGCCGTCTTGATAATTGGAAATTGAGCTGGGACTGGATGGCAGATGAATTTATATTTGCAATGAAAGGGGCTTATCCATCTATTGTAGATTCTTCTGACTGTATATTCGGCAGACAAGTTTCATACTACCAGGCTCTGGACTTCTCCACCGTATTGAATTGCGAAAGACGGCCAACCATAATTGACCTACCTCCAACCAGGGCCAATGACACTGTACTTGGTATGGTCCCTAATTGTTGCCGAAATGGTACAATCTTGCCACGATCAATGGATCCAAGCAAATCAATGTCATCATTCCAGATTCAAGTCTTTAAAATGCCTCCAGATCTTAACCGGTCCCAGTTCACACCGCCACAAAACTGGGCAATCAATGGCACGCTCAACCCTGATTATAAATGTGGCCCTCCTGTGCGGGTGAGTCCTAGCCAATTTCCTGATCGAAGTGGCTTGCCAGTGAATTCATCTGCGGTAGCCAGCTGGCAGGTTGTGTGCAATATTACACAGCTCAAGGGAGCAAGCCCTAGATGCTGTGTTTCATTTTCTGCTTTCTACAATGATTCGGTCATCCCATGCAACACTTGTGCATGTGGCTGCCCTAGTAATACAGCTCGAACTTGTAGTACAACTGCACCAGCTATGCTTCTTCCGCCGGAGACACTCCTTGTTCCCTTTGAGAACCGAACTGTCAAGGCAAAAGCTTGGGCTGAACTTAAACATCTACCAGTTCCAAACCCGACACCCTGTAGTGATAACTGTGGGGTCAGCATTAACTGGCATTTATATACAGACTACTCTCGTGGATGGAGTGCAAGGGTCACACTCTTCAATTGGGATGAAACTTCTTTTGTTGATTGGTTTGCTGCCGTGCAAATGGATAAAGCAGGCCATGGTTTCGAAAAGATGTACTCTTTCAACGGAAGTAGCTTGGAATTGAATGGTGTCAACAATACCGTATTCATGCAGGGTCTCGAAGGATTGAACTACCTTGTGGCAGAAACAGATGCAGCCAACCCGCAGAAGGATCCTAGGGTGCCTGGGAAGCAGCAATCAGTCATCTCATTTACAAAGAAGAAGACTCCTGGAATTAATGTGATTGGTGGAGATGGGTTTCCAACGAAAGTATACTTTAATGGGGAGGAATGCTCACTTCCTTCAATATATCCAAGTAGTGGTAACAGAAAGAGTACACCGATAATGTTTTCAGTCCTAATGGTTGTAGCGTTCATGGTGATGTAGCAATAGCTGAGGGATGAGGCACTGCCAGATCTTTTAGCTGGTGCTGATTTTTTATATTCTTTCAGTGGTTTGATTGATATATGCTCAACCAGGAGGTTTTGCAAAATCTTAACGACTAGAAGACATGCATGCCATGACTGGTACTTATGAGGTTGTTAGGGGAAATTTGGTTGTCGCTGGTAATCTCTTGCGCTTCTTCTGCACATGCTGAAAGGAGGATAGACACAGCAAGTGACAGCAAATCATATGTAGCGATTGTTCTCATATTTTGTATAAACAATTACTGAACTAGGTGCTTGCTTTGATTTTTTTGTTATATGTATACATGTGGGAACGATTATCCAATATATCTTTTTGGAGTCACTGGAATTTAGGACAATTACTTTGTGCGCCTATACAAATTTTCTGCTCTGAGTGTTTGTGTTCTCTTTGCTTGCTTGTGGATTACAGGAAGCCAATAGGAAAAAAAATCTTATGAGGCAGACTGTGCGTCTAAATAATTATATACTTTTAACTTGTTTAATGCAAATACCTAATCAACTTTTAGACTTGTTCAACTCAAATTATTCTATTCTTCAGGCTGTTCCTTTTTTCTTCTTTTGTTTCTTTTTCTGGCTGTTGGAATGATTCTAAAGCTCATGCTCAGCTAATGTGGACCACATCTTATCCGACCAATTCTTTTTTTTTTGGGAAAAGGTTATCCGACCAGTTCATGTTGGTTGCATTATTCCCATTTGCCAGTTACTCTCCCCGCAGCCATATCTTTCGTCACTAGTGTGCCTAAAAATAGTGAGACATCTCTAGTAGATTTACTGATTTGTTCTGCAACAGTGTAAATATTTCCCTTTTTTTAAGGGTAAAAATGTAATTCAGATTCCAAGACTTCATGGTGAAATTGCTTGTCATAAATTAGGCGAAATTCCATGTAATTGTTGAAACAAATCTCATGTACAAAAGATAGGAGAGATATTTTTAAGAATAGAAGTCACATAAGAAGGTGGTTAACACAAAAGCTAAAGCATGAATGAGAATCTCTACAAATTTAAGTACAAGAAAACAAACCAGAAAAGAATACCCCCGACTTTTGTCTTGAGTAACCAAATGGAATTTATGTACATCAAAGTCTGATTCCTTGACCGAGAGAGAAATGGAAGAGGCGGCAAAAGAAAATAACTAACAGGGCAAACTTCATGTGTTATTAGAGTTAGAAAGGCTCCTACAATGCCTGCAGGCGTATCAAAACCTACTCTAGAATACTCAAGATGCGCCGAAAACCGAGGACAGTTTCACCAGCACCCCAGAAATTGTTGCTTCTTTCTAGCCACTCAAAATTTTGCATGTATGCCTTTGCATTTCATGCAGCAGTATCTTGCATCACAAATTTCTTTTTGACCTGTTTGATCCGCCTCAATTACCCATCATCCTGACATTTAATCTGCTGGTTTCTTGAAGTAGAAACAAACTTGAATATCCACCATTTGATTGCGAAAGAAATGACTCCTATTGCAGCAATTATATACACCAGAGCTGCAAGCATACAGAATATTGTAGGGAGCACATTCTACACGGGAATATTATCCAAGGAATACCCGTCAAAGTCAAACTCATTTTCGGTGGCTCCAATTCCCTCTTGCTGCTGGAAAACAGAAGAACTTTCATATGAGTAAATAATAACCTTAACAGTTCGAAATTCATATCCAAAAATCTAAACACAGAAGGTAAAAAAATAGGGGAAGAAAAATTGACCTGTTTGAGAAGTGCACTCATTAGATCCTCCTGACCAAATTGTTCCTGAAAGAAGCTAGTTTGAGAACTTGCATCAGGAACCCTTTCAGCTTTAACCCTAACTGTATTGTCAACAATAAGACTGTTAAGGTGTTGACCATTATTTTGGACATTCACATGATGAGTGCCTTCTCCAATTGAGAACATAGCCTTTCCAACAGTAGATGGATTCCTGCTCTGTGCGCTCCTTTGGCTAGAAGAAAATCCTTGATGAACTAAAACTGAGGAGTCAAGGCTACCATGCATGGTGTTTGTATGTTGAGAGGCATCAAAGGTCAAGCCTACATTCTGTAAGTCCCAGTCATTAGATTTGTGCTGATGTAACTCATTATAAATACCATAACTTGGCCCAAATCCAGAAGATCTTTTTATTTCACAGTTCACATCTTCTGGAAATGCTCCTTTAGACGTGAGGCTGGACATTCCTGGTGTACTCCCAAGAGTAAAATTGTTTCCTGGCAGTTCTGAACTGTTGTTCAAGGGAAAGTTCAACATTGAGGAGTTCTGCTGGACTGGATTATATCCTGCCCCTCTGCCATTATCAGCAATCCCATTTCTTCCTAAAACTCCACTAGGAATTCCATTTGATAGGATAGGCTGCCCCATTGATGATGAAAGCCTAGGAACATGAGTTCCAGAAGTTTCATTCAGGATCTGCCCTCTTGACTGTGGTTGAGACATCTGCATAAGTAGAGCGCTGTTCTGGACTCCATGGGCATTGACTTGCATATTCACACCCCCAAGAGATTGTGCAGACTGGTGCAAGTTGGCAAGCTGCTTGGCCTCCATATTTGTTGGAATTCCATGAAGTAAGTTCATTGGCTTACTACTGCTCAGATGTTGTTGCCCCTCTGCAAACCTCAACTTTGGATTTTCAAAGCTGAATAAGTTCCTCTGATCAACAAGGGGCATAGGCATGCCAGATTTTGCTGTTGACCTACCAAGTCCGGCTTGGAGTGTGGCAAGACTTTGAGCAGGAAGTTGACCTGTGACGGCTAGCGTCTGAAGATCAAGCCCATTGAGGGACGACATAGCTCCAAAAGATGCTTCTTGGGGACTCAGGAAAGAGTTATTCAAATTACTCGGGTGCTGTGACACTCCACTCAACCTTCTAAGGTACAACCTATATTTCTGTTCCACAACTTCGCACGGTGAGTTTTTCTCAAACAGGGAATATATTTTTCTCAAAATGCATACCAAAAGAGGGGAAAAAAAACCAAAGAGCCTTTCTTGAGTTCACATCATAACAGACTTCCTCTTCATAATTATTTATTATATTATACAAAATTATACATACCTGAAGATGGCTAGCAACATTTTCTCTGGTCAGCCCAGGAACATTCATCAACTCCAGAATTTTCTTAGGAACAGCCTCTGTATCAAATTATCAAGTTTGATTAACATAAGGAATACATTTACAATAGGAAATAGACACATAATTTTGCATGGTTTAATTTTATCTAAAAGGCAAAGAAAATAATTCAATACTAACTCGCACTAAAATGCTAAACACAACATAGACTTTGATTTATGGAACAATTTGGATGTAAAAGGTGTATTAATTATGAGTCGTTTGTCAATGAATAAACAAGACAGACATGATAATGATATTTGATATGGCCAGCATGTCCATTTCTGTCAGTGTGAAGAATGTTTATATAGGTTCAAACTGATTCAGCTCCTAGTTGAAAAACTAGGCGCAAAACTCAAAGGACCACGAACACTAATTTGCTCCCAGCATCCATCTTCAGTCCAGTAGGAAACATGAAATTGAAAAAGATTGGGAAGAAAACATACTATCGATGCCTAATTGATTAACAGCACCCACAAACTGTTGATGGAGTTCAACTGACCAAACAACCCGTGGCTTCTTTAATGTGGATGAATCATCCCTCTCGTCAGCCTCTTCTTCCTCATCCTTCCTCCTCTTTGAGTTCTTCCAAGTCCCTTCATTTGCTGAGGACGAGTAATCTGCATCTTCAGATGGTTTCGGCTGCCGATCTCCTTCTTCCACACTTCCAGATTGCTCCACGTCCTTCCACTCATTCTTTTTCTTACGAACTACATGCTGCCATATGTTCTTCAGTGCCTCTATACGAACCGGTTTGATTAGGTAGTCACAAGCACCATGAGTGACCCCCTTCATAACAACACTTTTTCCATCATCAGCAGACATCACTGTTGAATCACATATCAGCTCCAAATTAATATATATACTATCTGGGTTAACAGCAGTTAAAATCCACACGAATTACTCAAACGGATAACTCACTGATAACAGGCAGGTCCATCTCAAGTCCAACGCGTTCCAGGAGTTTGAATCCATCCATGTCTGGCATGTGGACATCACTAATAACTATATCAAATCCATTTTTGTTCTCTCGAAGCAGCTCAAGTGCGATCTCCGCTCGATTACATTTCGTAACTAGAAAATCCCAAACAAACCAAATCAATCTCTCAAAAAATTGATTACAGAAATGATAAAACAACATAAATAAACAGAGCTATGAGTCTATAAAAGCGCAAATCAAAACTCAAGCTTATCCTTGGAACAATAAGATTAACTCTTTAAAAAAATAACAAAAGAAAAAAGATGAAAAATTAATGCTGTAGAAACCATGAAGAACAAGTCACAAACTTGAAGACAACCCATGATTTGAATCTAAACACAATTATAACTGAAAGTGTACAAAATGTCAAACTATAGACAAATCTTAACATTTGTTCCCTTTTCTACATCAGGTTCCCAATTCCCTAAATATCAGCTTGAGAAACACAAGAAACGATAACCCAAGTGGTAAACACTTGCACTAAATCAACCCAAAAGGAAAACAAGGTCATACTTTGAAACAGGAAATTGAAATCACCCAAAGGATTGAAGAAAACCCATGAAGCAAAACCCAAAAGAGAGAGAGAATTACAATTCAAGCAACTCTAATAAAAGGGTACCTTCATAGAGACATGTTCTAAGCATCTTCTCCAAGATCATAAGGCAAGTGGGATCATCGTCAACCACCAGGACTCTTAAACCCGCAGGAAACTGGTCAGAGACCACATCAGCCGATTTCCAAGCGCCACTTGAACTAGCCGTTGACATCGATCCCATACCGTTACTCAGATTCATGGCTTAAAAAACCCAAATCTCGGAGCCGAAAGAACAGGAGAGATATAGCTAAAAGAACAACCAGATACCCGAATTACATGCTTAAGCTTCGGTTTTGATTCACACCCAATTCAAAATTCAAAGAACCAGTTGAAACGAAAGCAACGAAAAGGAGAGAGATTTTGATTTTTCTGGTGATAAAATTTTTATTGTGTATAATTATATATTTATTCTTCAGATTGAAGTTGAAAGAGCTGGACTTGTCTCTCTCTCTCTCTCTTTCTCTCTCTTCTTCAAGCTCAAATTGTCTGTGTTTTGGTTTTATTTTATGATTTATTAATTTTTAATAATTTGGAATATTTTATTCAATGGTGGGTCACTCCTGGAAGAGTGGATCCAGCTCACATATAAAATTAACTTGATTAGCTAACATGATCCTCCTTCCCAAATTTACTCATAATTACTGTTTACTTTGTTACTTTGTATTTGGTTTTTACACTTTTACTATTTACAATTTCTTCAAAATCAAAACCTTCCTTTTTATCTGTTTCCTCTTTTTTGGACTCTCTATCTGTTTCCTCTTACTGCAACACAAATTGAGTGGTTATACTTTCACCTCTCCAATAATTCAGCATCAAACTCTTTTTCAATTTTCAATTTTCAAAATTAAACATCATAACTGAAAATTAATTGTTTTTTAATTTACTAATTTACCTAAGCTGCCCATGTGAGCTACCTAGTGAAAGAAAAATAATAAGGGCCTCCAATTTTGATGCACATTCAGTGTATTTTTTTATATATAGTAAATTGCATAATACCCACACAATGAATGTTTTTTTTTCCTTTTTAATAGAGGAAGTAGTAAATTTTCATTAAGATTGTCAAAGGTTATATACTCGAGCAAACAAACGTGACCTCATTACACGATGAATGTTTTAATTGACCCAAACAAGAGAAGAAAAAAAAAACCAACTTAATGAATGTGTTGGGATTTATTTTGTGTTTGATTTTTGTTGAAAAAGACTGAATTGGGTCACTAATAGTCTTTTTTTTGGAGAAAAAGGAAACAAAAAGGCCAAAAAGAAAAAAAAGAAAAAAAACCACAAACACAACAACAACCTTAAATCCATATATGAATACAAAAACAGAAGCACTTTTTTTTATTTATAATGAAAATAGTTGAGGATAATGTTTGGTTTATTTTTCGGATCAACGTTGTTTACCAAAGCAAACCACCACTTCCATATATTGTGGGGGTGCTTTTGGTTTTCCACTTTCAAGTCCTCAATAGTGGTCATCCACAGTTCAGCCACTTGATATTTTTATATTGCAAAACAGGTCAATTAAATACACAAAACGGAACGGAAAAGGGTTTTGTGGAAGAAACCCCGTTGAACGAGTTTTTTTGATTCTTTTAAAGCTCAGCTGGGTTTTTACCTGCCTTCTGCTGGGTGTGCTGTCTGACCAGCTTTTACTTTTCATGCCAGTTACTTTTACCACCCTGCCTGCTCTACCCACTTCCCCCGTTCGACACGTGTCATTTGGTGCCTCTAAATAGGATAAGGCTTCCTTGGCCTGTATTGTTTGCTCTCTCATTTCCTAGTCATGACTCATCCCCCTGCACTTCACTTCACTGCACTGCACTGCATTCATGCTTGCTTTTTTAGTTTTGGTGCTGTTTCTGTGTGTGCGGTGTCGAAAATTAAAAAATCTATGTAGGCTTTGCATATGGAATATGGGGTATGTTCTCTTATGATTCGATGCAATTAACCTATAATTTTGGTATATGAGTTACTTCTTGTCGTTTTTACGACATTATTATTCTAATAGCATAACATGTTAGATATCTATATACATAATATATGAAACGAACCTCGTACCAGTCTTTCTATCTCAAGTAGCAGTTTTATTCCCTAATTCATGAACAAATTAGCAAGCTCACCCGAGGGATTTTCCCTCAAAGAAAACATAATATAAATAAAAAATTAGGGTTGCTTTTCCCAGTCCTAATGCAAGAAAAGCTGTGACAAGCCTTGCTAAAGTGGCCATAGCATACTGAAACCGTATATTCTCTAGTAGCCTTTTCTCTATTACGATGAAGAACACACCCCAACTACAAGTCTTTGCTTGCTTTTCAATTTCACCCTCAGAAAATATATTTGTGAGCAAAAAGAAAAGAAACCCCACTCTCGCTCTTAACAAGTCTCAAACCCCAAAAAAAAACCCAGCCAATGAAAGCTGTGGAAACTGCGAGTGGTTGCTTTTATGCTAAAGCTCTGGCAAGCTTGGGCTTTTCCCACAAATTTAAATCCTCAAACTTAATGATTTAATAATAATTGTTTATTGTTTCTGGTTCTAGCTTTTCATGGGTTTAGTTTTAGAGAGATGCTTTTAAGGCAAAATATGGAATATTATGTGTAACCCCCCAAACCTTTAGATTATTTCACGCGCGCCTATTAAACTATGCCATGCAAATGGCTTCTCTCTCTCCCCCTGGAGAAAAAGTTTTATGAAATCGGATATCACTATTTTGTTGTTCTCGATCAATAATGTTATTTTTCTTGTATCATAGCATTATTAAACGGAGATAACAAAACAATATTATACCCGTTGCAACTAAATTTTTCTCTTTTGAGTGGGTTTCAGGTGATTGGAGCTGTTGTTGCTGCTCTGCCATGTGGCATCTCATGGAACTTGGAGAAAAAGTCCAAAGCTACTTTTACTAACTTTCCCTATCTCCTTTGCCAAATTGCCCACTTAAATCATGAGTGCCATATCCCAAGTCCCAAGCAACACACCCAACACAAAATGAATTATAATGGCCTCACTCTTTTTTACCCTTAGCATGCGCCTTGTGAGATTTTTTTTTTTACTTGTGATCTTGACAAAATTTTCTAACTTGATTGCTTTCCCTTTTGGATGTGAAAAACAAATGGGAAAGTGGTAATTGTTTGCTTTTGTTTTTGTTTTTGGGAGAGTTTTCTCTTTTGCTTTGTAAGTTATGGGGTGTCATTGTTGTATATTCCCTTGAGTTGTTAACAATCATTGTCATTTGCTTTGACTAAAAAGGGTTGTGTCCTTCCTTACCCATTCCCTCTCACATGTTCTCTTGTTGCCACGTTAACATCACTTGCTTGTTGTAATCAATATCAAAAAAATCACCTGTGAGCATGCCTTTCCCAACATCATTGAAACCATTTTGGTTGTTTTTACCACTTTTTGGCAAATCAAATAATTTTCGGGGTTGTTCTTTTTCACGTGGTAATGCTAAAAGCAGTGTCGTTCGGTTAATTATCAACTCCTAAACTATACATATTATCTTTTAACTAGATTGTTCTGCCAATCGATGATATCAATTTTACTGTAATTTTTCAACACATGGGAGTTAGTTGGCTTCTTATGTTGAACATGCAAGAATTTGCCTAGCCTACCGTTTGATGTTGGCAAAAGATTTATAAATATTTCTTGAGGGTTTACTCTGTTTTTTGTTTTAGTGTTGAAATTGCAAGATTTTGATCCCAAGTTTACAGCAAAGATCCAGCTAGCTATGCTAATGCTAGCAACACCAATGATGAACGAACAACGAGTCAAAAGACCCACCCAGAAGACTAGACAAGTACTGAGATGACTCGACTCGGGGCCCACTGGCCCCACTCTGGGCTGGTCCACGTCAGCAGCGACGAAGGCAAACGCACACGAGACGTGTTGGACGACGTTCCTTTCGACCCGGGAAATCGGACGGACACGTGGTGGTGTCCTTAGTGCAACCGGCGGGACCCGCCCCGGGACTGTACAAAAAGGAAAGGCCAAGACGTTAACGGGAGAACTGGGCCAACGCGGGAAGGGAAGGCATTGGGCTGGGCCCCACCGCACACCTCATCAGTGATGAAAAGAGTAGGGGGCCCACTTATAACGTACGTGCGCCTCTCATACACATCCCTATCGGCTGTCACTAGCTAGGACACAAAATAGAGAAAATAGAGTTTAGGGTTTTGTTTGTTTTTTTGGTGATGGAAAAGAAGGTTGGATGCGTTTGATTTGAGTAGGTTGAAAAATTGGAGGACTTTTATTGTTTTGTGTATTTGAGAGGGAGATTCTATCAGTCTATGTTGAGCATGCATATATTTCTCAAACTTTTTCTACGGTTGTTTCATAACTTTTCAGATACGTAATCAATTTATAGAAGATAATCATGGTCATCACATAGACATCAAAAACAATATATATATCTATGGACAGTGGCTGATCCAGGATTATGTGGCCAAGGGGGCTTAGTTTAAAAGTTCCAAAAATTTTCTAAGCAGAGGAAGCATGAATGAAAGGGAATAACATAAAGGTGAGCACTGAAAATGGAAGGGAATAACATAAACAAATTGAACTATAAAAACCCAGCTGCTGTTTTGCAAAGAAATTTGAAGCTTTTTCGTCACCAAAAGTTTTTAGTGATAGATGTTCATCAGATTTTTCGTGGCTAAAAATTTTCTGCGACGGTGTTCTTCAGATTTTTCGTCACTAAAAGTCAAATTTCTAGATCAACTTCAGACTTATATACAAGGGTAAGTTCTAGGTTTCTATCTTTAGTTTAGTCGTTTCCTGATTTTATTTGCAGGCTGTTTCACAAATTAGACCAGAATAATAACACATACATATGACAATGAAGATGTGAAATTGGGAATGAAGAGTTTGGAGCTGCTGTGCAGAATCGGGGGTAAGTGATGCTGTTTTTTTTATTTTTTATTTAAAAACCTGGCCCAAAACGACGTCGTTTTGAGGCCAGGTCAATAAAAAAAAAATTTGACTGAGCCTTGGACCAAACAACGTCGTTTGGCAAGGCAGGTTTTGAAAAAAAATTAGCACGCAGCGCGCGCAATGCGCAGCAGCAGAGGAAGAGTTCGGCTGGGAATTTCGTCGAGCAGTTGGTGTACAGGGCTTCCAGCAGCAGTCCAAGGGGGCTTTCATGGAGTCCCTTCCCAATTTTCAGCATTCCAAGGGGGCTTCAGCCCCCTCTTGTCCCAACGTCGACCCGCCTCTGTCTATGGATGTTACGAAAGCGTACATGAGTATGTTTTGATTCAAACACTTACGTTATGCGAATACAGATTTTAAGTGCATGAGTAACTTCTCTTAACATTTAAACTACAAACCCCTTGCTGCGCTATCTTAATAAATCTAATCGGTTGGAGTATTTGCAACAAACTCATTAGTGCAGTGGTTTGGGGCATGAGTAGGAACCCTACCATCTATGTAGTGTGTGTGAATTTAGTATATTATCTCTATATATATAGTCTTAAATCACGACAATTGCATATTAGGGTCAGAGAATGAATCTCCCAATAGCTGTATATATAGTAATACACATGTAGGGTTGTAGGTAAATCCCAAGCCTTAAAACATGTACCCAATTGGGCTCACACATAAGTAGTCCATACTATATATATATAAGATACATTTGTTAAGGTGCACCAATACTAGAACGATTATAATATAAAGGGCTAACCGTCAATTCTCAACCCAATAAATATTCCAATCAAACTCGATATTACCGGAAAAAATACTCCCAACCCCAACTAATAATAAACAATTTGCAATACTGAATTCCAAAATTGAATTAGGGTGGTGATAAAAAAAAAGTTCATAGGTGGGTTGCTGTCCCATCTATTTTGAAGCCATTTTTGGTAACATTAGGAATTGCAATTATACAAGAAAGGATAGACCAACACGTTGCAGTACTGGAGGCTCTGCTTCCCGACACCCAACTTGTTGTTCAATGGTTCAGAGATGGATCCAAAAAAATATTTTGAATCAGAAGAATTATTGAAGTGAAAGGTCCGAGACTACCTGTCAAGCAAGCAAGCAAGCAATCAACGGCCAAAGGGGAAAGAAGAAAGCCTTATGATATCAAATATTGGACGTGCATGTGGATCCACAAAACTCAAGTCTCTCTCTCTCTCTCTCTCTCTCTCTCTCTCTCAGGCTTAGCACAGATAAGTTCCAAGTATAGTAGCTCCCCACCACCTTTGCCAGCCTCGCAAGCAAGCAAACAAGTAGTAGGTCCATCCATTCATCCAATCCAATCTCGAGTTGACTGTATATAAGGTTTGATTCACTAGAAGATACAGCCACAACCAGCGCCAAGAACGAAAATCAGATTACAAAGTTACAAACTTTGTCACTACCATCCCATTTACCGTGACGTGATCTGAATCATCGATTATGTTGACTATTACATAGGACATGTTTATTTAAGGAATTAAGAAATAACTAGAATCAGATCAAGTATTTAATTCCTAGTTTCGAGAGTATTTGATCACATATTTTTTGATTCCTTATGAGCTAGTAAACGCATGAGAAGTCAAAAATTGAAATAATTTTAATACTCATTTTTATAAATAAACATATATAGTAAGAGAACATTCATCATATATAAACTCAACGCGGGGAGAAAAAGGAAAATAAAATAAAAGAGGAAACATATAATTTTCTCCAAGCTGGCAACTTGGGTTGGGGGGTGTTATTTTTTTAGGTATGAATGATGGGAATAACGTACGCTGTTCTCTCATGTGGCAGGTCCATTATATATCTGGGATTGCTTGCAGGAAATTAATTCCTCACATGACATTGTCTATAACAGGAGAAAAAAAAAAAAAAAAAAGGGTACTTGACCACTCTACAAGTTATAGGAATTCATTAATGCTTGGGGTACGAACTCATGTTCAAACGGGGTGTTGTCACCAGCAGGCCATTTCTATAATTAAGATCGTTTTTGCCAAGTTGGGTATTTCGTTTAGTCCAACAATTGGGATGAAACTTCATATGCTTTCTCATATTTTTGGTGCAATTGTGGCTTACAACACGGAATTCGCAGTTCAAGTGGTTAAAAATAATTATTCATGTATCTGATGTCCTGTGTTCGAATTCCCCCTCCTCCTCGATGTCTCTTGTATCAATTTATTTGAGTTTTTAATTATGCATGCATGATGATTGTAGATATAATTGAAAGTCGTCATAATCCATCCTAAATGATAAGGGTGGCCCCAATAGCAAACAACAAGGATACACCATCGTGTCGTGCACATGGAGTGGTTTATTTTTGATTTCCTAGGATGAATATGCACATGTAATGTAACTGTAACAGAAGCACCACCTGCGAGATCTTCAGTCCCACTTTCCACTAGAGACCATCACAAATTCACAAAATTCAGAATATGACTAGGGGGACGTTGGGTTCATCTGGGTCATTTGGTGATCATAGGAGATATATGCCCTAACCCGTAATCATCCATAAACTTGATTTGGTCTATAGTCACTTGTAAATACCCACTCAACCTCATAGGTCACAACGACCCAAATCAACACACAACGATTCTAGACATGTCATGCATTTTGAGGATCACTAGTGGGTTGTAGTTTGAAAGGTACGAGAAGAAGTGTTACGACTACTTTTATTTATATGGCCTGGGTCAACCCAAATCCACTTGGGGGATTTATGGGCGTAACAACATTAAACATTTGTAAGGAACTTATAACTCAAATGATTAAGGACATTTACCCATGCCCGCAATTATAGCTTTCTCGCAACTAAAGAAGCCCGTTTCTCATGAAGCTACAAATAAGCTCAAGATGGGCAAAGGCCCACAAGAGGGAAAATGGCAAAGGGCTAACTTCAAATTTCAAACCCAACCAAGAACATGTTAGGTGCCATGGCCCATGCTAGAGATTCAAGCAGGAACCGAAAGAGGCCCTAAACGCGAGAGACCATGAGAAAATAGTGAAGCACCAAACTGAAAACGGTAAGGCTAGCTCGCAAAACTCGGTGAGTGGTAGTGTTAGAGGCCTTCCGCAATTGCTGCTCATTCCACCACTCTCCTCCTTATAAAAACTGTTTGAAAAAACTAACCTCTCCCACCACACCCACTTCCTATAAGATCAAGTGCCCGTTTTCAGCTTCAAGCAAATCTACGTATCTGCAAATGGTAGTTTCATTTTCAACCCATCAGGTATTTAGCTTCTTTACGCTCTGCATTCTTTATTTCTGGACCTATTTTTCCTTTTTCTTTTTGTTATAGGTACCATGACCAAGTTAATGGCAGACAACTCCTTTTCAGTTTCTGGGGAAAAATGAGGACATGCTCCATGTGCTATTCTAACTTGCAAGTACCAAAGTTGGGTCTTCAGTCATCTTCTCTTGGATTAACATCTTTAGGCAGAAGAGCAACAATAACCACCATAAGTCAACCACTTTTAAAATGCTTAAGAAGCATACAATACTCTGATGCTCCAGCAAAGATTTTGGACAACGAATTTTTAAAGCATTTTGTGAAAGTATTTGGTCTGGATCTTGAAACCACTGGATTTTTCGAAAAAGGAAAGATCGTTGAAATTGCGGTCCGGGATCTTCATGGGGGCAAGAACAGTTGTTTCCAAACCCTGGTAAACCCCGAACAACATGTTCCAAATTCTCATATCCATGGTATAACAACCGACATGGTGACACATTCAGGTGTCCCAAGGTATGCTGTTCTTTTAAGGCCTTTTAATTTCCTGTCAACATTATTCCAGTCAGGCATTGCAGGTAGTTATTATGTATAGTTTTGTTTTTTGTTTTTTATAAAGAACATGTATAGTTGTTAGAATATGACTAAACCTTCTAAGGTGCTGGATAACATGAGTACTGGTAGTCACATGTAAATTTAGTAGATGAAATACTAAGCTAATGTAGGCATTAGGCAATACCTGATTACAAGTTCTTGTTTGGAATGGCGGAGTTGATTCCAATCCTTGTCGAATACATCAAAAGCCGCCAAGTACCCGGAGGGCATGTTATACTTGCAGCTCACAATGCACGCTGTTTCGATGTACCATTTTTGCTCAAGGAATTCAGCTGCTGCTCATTTGACGTTCCTCCTGACTGGTTGTTTCTTGACACCCTTGCTCTGGCTCGAGAGTTGAGGAAATTACATGGTAAGAGCTATAAAAATAAAAGAAAGAACACAGTTTATTTTACAAGATTAATGATTTCTGGTACTATTAACAGGATCAAAGGCTCTTCCAAAGATCTCACTTCAGGGTCTTCGTGAGTTCTATAGGATCCCTCTAGAGGGTTCAAATCACAGGGCCATGTCAGATGTAAATGTGCTATCATCTATACTTCCCAACATGACTTTTGACCTGAAGCTTGGTGTCGATGACCTTTTGCAGAGGACTTTTAAGGCCTCGGCCTGCAACATTACGTGAACGAGAACATGAAGAAGAGCTGAAGCTGCAAGCATGCCGTCGTTTTCTGCTCTTGTTTTCCTCTGTACCACTGTAATTATGTAGGCAATTGTTTGTTTGTGTATCATTTCTGGTAAGCATTATCCAATCTGCCTTGATACATGAAACAACATATTTTGTTTCATATGGTCATGATTTTGTTTGACATTGATTTGCAGATACTGTTGGAGTGTAAACCCCAGAAATAGGTAGTTCAATGAAATTACTTTATCGTTCAAAGTGTGGACATATTTTATTTATGAGACTGCAGCAATGAATGTGGTTTATTTGTACATGTGATTGAATCATACACGTGAGCAAGGGATTTCTAATTATAAATCACAAGTGTTTATTATTTTAAACCAAACACAGTCAGTAATAAGACAGGAAATGTTATTGTCTGAGAATCTTATGGTACAATTAATGTTTATAATTTAGAGTTAGCAAATTCTAAATGGATGTAGTTATGAGGGTATGATTTTGGTTCAAAGGACAACTAGCACATGAATTAAAACATCCTATATTCAATGGGACTCATAATTATGTAGGACACAACCTCTTTAAATCAGAAACAATATTGACCTGATATTAGTACGGAATACATTTACAATTCCAAAGCTGTTGAAGAGACTATTTGAGATGCTCTTACTCCACAATATCACTCAATGCTCGAAACTTTCTGTATTTTTTGGCCATCTTTCAACTGCCGTTCATGGAAAAAATCATCCAAGATGTGAAAAAAATACAATTCTTTAAATTAAATTGATATGATTGCGTGAGTAACTAGCTAAACGATTTTTGGTTTGGAAATATTTTTACTCACCAATTTAACCTAAAGTGTACCCTCATTATCTTTCTCAACACTTGACATATGTCCATGAGCATAACCATAGTTAACTATTTGCTTTGTATTTGCGTAACCATGTCTATAACTATAGACATGTGTCAAGTGTTGAGAATGATTATGATGATACACCTTGTATTAAAGTGTTGAGCAAAAATAAGGACATCCTTATTAGAGAAAGCATTCTATACTTGGAAAAACATCTAAAATAAATTTTCTTTTATGGGATATTTACTAATCCGTAATTAGAATAAAAATGGTTTTCCCTTTTCAGTGTTAATTCGAGCAAAAGAAGTTGAAATGGATTTGGATTTACATAGCTTAGTCCAATCCAAACCAATTTTCACTAATTTCTCTAAAGCGTGCGGGCCCCATATAGTTCTAATCAAAACGTGCGCGAGAAGGCGAGACCATAAAAACCGCGTTAAGCCACGAATATTAAACAAAAAATCGAAAAAGTAAAAAAGGAAAAAAAACTCTGAAATCACGACTTCCACACGTGTGAATGACATTCACACACACGCTGTCTGTCCAATGAAATCCTTCCACCTGTATAAAAAACGCATGGCTCTGGTAGTTAGGGGCATTTCCGAAATTAACAGGAAATCCGCGGGCTATTTCCATCACGAAGGATCTATAAAAAGGAGCTTAACCCCTACCGGAAGTTCGGTGGAGAGTCTTCTGTGTTCTCTCTCACGCTATTTCTTGGTCGCTTCCTCACACTCACACCTCCACACACACACACACACACACACACACACACACTCGCTTTATATCTCGTCGTCTTCAATCTATCTAGGGTTTTATAAATTCGGACCCAAATTCGATTTGAGCTCCCAATTCGCCATCGCCTTGACAGACCGGAGGTTCGGTAGAGAGTCTTCTGTGTTCTCTCTCAAGCTATTTCTTGGTCGCTTCCTCACACTCGCACCACACCCACACACACACTCGCTTTATCTCTCGTCGTCTTCAATCTTCCTAGGGTTTTATAAATTTGTACCAAATTCGATTTGAGCTCCCAATTCGCCATCGCCTTGATTGAATTGTGTATGTGTATCAAGATGGAGTCTGATAATTCGTGGAGCAGTCTCTTCTCGAGCTCTTCGTCGAGGCGGTACCAATCTCGATCCGGTCACTTTTCCCAAACTACCCCAGGTTCGCGTCATTTTTCTTGTTTTTTTGGTGTTTTGTGAATTTGTTTGGTGCTGATGGTTGTGGTCGTTGCAGATCTGTTTGCGCACGACGAAACTGATGGAGACGATGAGTTAAAGGCCGAGTTTTTGTGCCCTTTTTGCGCCGAGGATTTTGATGTTGTTGGGCTTTGTTGCCACATCGATGAGGAACATCCGGTGGAGGCTAAGAACGGGGTATGTAATTCAATTTTTTGAATTTAGTTAATTTTGAAGTTTTGCACTTTTAATCGATTAGTTCCAGCTGGCTTTGCTTTTAGAAATTTGAAAAGTACGAGCTCTCAAGGTTTTCTTTTGTTTTTCTCCTAGAAATGTTAGTGTTTGCGTTTTGATGATCGTTCAGTTCTCATTTTAGCTTAGAAAGGAACATTTAATTTGCATAATTTACTAAGTAACTCATGATTCCGTACAGACTGAGCGAACTTTAGGGGAGGAAATCTATCATTGTGATAGCATTCAAAGGGATGCTAGTGGTTTACTTGGTTTTTTGTCGTTTGGCTGAGGTTTTGAATGGGTTTGGTTGAGTTGGACTTTCCTTTGAGTAGGTTTGAGTTGCAACATAGAGGTACTTTCGTTGAGATGGGTTTGTTATGACTGGTGATGGGGTAGATGATGGTGAGACAAGAGGGTTAATTATCTTAGTAATTGATTTTTTTTTGAAGCCTTTTAGAAAGGCAATGTTGGAATTTTCCTTGTTAGTGTTGTGCGTGGTATGCTCAACACTAGACTGGTATATGGGTTTGAGCTAGTCTGTAGGAGCTCGGTTAGTCAGGTCAACCTTGTAGTTATCTTTCTTCGTTAATGTACAGATAGTTAATCTTGCATGTGTAATTGTTTTCTTAAATTGAATAAAAAGGTAGGACTGGTTCACATGGGTTGTTTATGAACGTGCCCTTTGTTACCATTTATAATTTTCATTTCTCTTGGATTATTTATGAACTAGCCTATTGTTATTGTTTTGAATGTTCTGTTTTCATTTTTTTCCAGGTCTGTCCAGTTTGTGCCAAAAGGGTGGGAGCAAACCTTGTGAGCCATATTACCACGCAACATGGGAGTTTGTTAAAGATATCCTTTGGTGAATTTCACTTTGGTTTTGAATTTTTCCATGCTTGTTTTGGTTATCATTTACATACATGCTTATTGTATCTATATCTAGAGGTTGAATTTGTTATCAAATGAACACTTTTGAAAGAAATAAGTGTGATTTAGAAAAGCCAACTTTTGTTGTATTTAATTTTAATGGCAGAACATATGGGTATTACAGTCAGAAATGGTTGTTTTGTTAAAAATATGGCCTTTATCTTAAATTCACTCTTGCATATTTTCATGTATCTGGCCAGCACACTGACTAGTTATCATAGTGTTGTTGAGTATCACCTTCAACTTGTTCCCTTTGTTAGACTCTTCATTTGCACCAGTCACTCCTATTCTAGAATGGCCATTTATTGCATCGAAACTTGGATAACTTTCACTTCCATGTTTATATATGTTTTGGTCATATTTCCTTTTTAAGTCTGGAGTATGAAGTGATGTATTCCTTGACTATAGATTACGTTCAGCGCAAGAGGAAATTTCGCAGGGGATCTAATTCAACATTTTCTATATTAAGGAAAGAGCTGCGAGAAGGAAGTTTACAAGCCCTTCTCGGAGGTTCTTCTTTCCTTGTTTCTTCAAACACGGAAGCTGATCCTTTGCTGTCTTCCTTTATATATAACCCACCCACAGTTGATGAGGATGTGAGCGCACAACCCGATCCTTTAGTCGAAGCTTCTTTTGTAAAGGAAAGCACAAAGGAAGAGTTCTCAGAAAGGTATGAGCATTAGCATGACTTTGAGTCTGTTTATTTGTTTTTGTTGTGTGTGGTGAATTTACTATGATTTCTATAGAGTTTTAATGCTGGCTGGTCTATGATGACAGAATCGTGCAACAACCACCGCTATCGCATAAGGACCAAGAAGAGAAGGCGCGGAAGTGTGAGTTTGTTCAAGGATTGCTGATGTCCACCATCCTTGATGACTTATGAGTTAGAAGAGGGTGTAGTGGTGAGAGATACGGAATTGACAAGTTAGGACCAGAGCGCAGAGCCCAAGTAATACGAGGGAAGAAAGTCGTGCTATTTATGTATCAACGGGTAATAGTTAGATATGAACAAGCATGTATTCGTATTGTACTCGGAGCTTTATGTGTAAAATGGAAATATGAAATAAATTTATCCACTTTGCCTTTTGCTTTCTACATGTTCTTGATAACTTGCCAAAGGTTATCTTGGAATTAATGCGCACTGATCATAAGTTAGTAACTTAAAAATTCAAATAGGATAGGGGAAACTTTTCATGTCACTAGATTCTGTGAAAGAAGAGAATTTTTCGTTCTGCAAAGAAATGCAGAAATTGGAAGGTGCTAGACTAGATTTGACAATGCAGCCTAGGTTGGTTCTATGAACCTACGTAAATGAAAATGATTGTAGGGGGCAGATGGCAAAATTGGAGGAGTGGAAGAAACTCATCTAGGATTGCAATAGAGTTTTGATGCCGGCTAAAACTGGCCCACACTAAAGACTCACATTTACAATTGTCCTCTCAAGCAGAACCCAACTAATCTCAAGCAGAACCCAACTAATCACAGACTGTCACGTGGAAAAGTTATTAAATGTGAAATGCCTTGATTGGTCTGGGATTGCAAAATAGTGTTATTTCTATTTCACACAAGTGTTTTTCTCTGCCAAGACTCTGCTCACCAAACCTAACCCTTTCTTCCTTCCAAATAATTAAGGATAATCCCTTGGCCTAAAGAGCTCTTGGCCTTGTACGCCATCCCTCAGCTAGATAAGGTCTGAAATTGCCCTAATCAATCTAATTCTTGAATTTTCAAGCTTTGAAATTTGGATTTTATGTGTTGGTAGATATAGAAAAGTCATGAAATGAAATAATTCCAAAACCTATATATACTAAAGGGAAGT